GTGTTTCCAGCTTTGGGAGAGATTCAAAAGTGTTTTGATGCTTGATGTTTTTAGGAAGTAGGCCACCAACCTCCCGTACTTGCTTTTGTAGTGCAGCACTGAAAAGTGACAGTTTAAATGTCAGATTATTCTATATTATTCCTTTTCATATGAGGTGGTTCTTGCTTACAGCAATTGCATATTTAAGCAGGGATTAAAATCTTCAACCTGCACTCTGCATTCCTTTTACATTGTTGGTACTAATAAACAGTCTAGTGTAAGAATTTGGCAGGCTTTTGCGTTGATATATGAGAGACAATAAATTCCCAGTCATGCTTTGCTGGATTGACAGAAAAATCTGTTTTTTCAGCCAGGGAAGGAAAAATATAGGCTAAGACTCAAAGACATCCAAGAAGTACTTCTCTAATTCAGGAGGTGCTATTTTAATTAGTTATTTATCAAAAATTGGAAATGTCTGCTTTCTAGATGGTTTCTTTAAATCTGATTTGTGATAGGTCTCTTGTTAAATACTTTTTAATTCTTCTTTGTATATGTCTATGAACTCTTAAGCTAATTATTTATTGCAAGCAGTGAGCAAGTATTGATCCTTGATTTAAAAAAAGTAATCAGTGTCTTGAATGATTTTTATTTTCAAAATCTTTTCTGAAGGAGACAAAAGGAGGCTGAAATTACAAAGAAATTCCGGGATGCTATGGCTCAAGAAAAAGCCAGAATAGTGGCAGAAAAATGGAAAATAGAAATAGAAGATCGGAAAGCTGCCAAATTGGAAGAGGAAAAAATTCAGGAGGAACTGAAGGTTTGCATAGAGTAATTTAACTTTTTTAATAGTGTTTTTATATAGAATCAAAGTTCTTGTCTTAAGCTTGTTATTAATAAGCTTTAAACCCCAGAGTTTTAATTTTTCATCCTGGAATATACAAATAGCTACATGGTGTTCACCAGAACAGCTGGGTGAGTAATGCAAAAAAATTACATAGCTCATTCAGAAGTGTCAGGACAATCAAACTGGTTATTCAGCTCACACATTAACAGAATTGTTCAGTCAGCTGTGCTGAGTGAATCATACTCAGGGAAAAAAATGTACAATTGTGAAAGGTCTCATTTCAAGTTAGTTTGCTTGAACATATTTTGTGTATTTTGGATGAGTTGTTCACATATTTAACTGGAAAATTCTGTCACTACCTTCTTTAAGGTAATGAAGGGTGGATTCTTCTCCTACTGAACATATAGGAAAAGTCCAGTTGGTTTTGCTGGGAGAGGTTCATTTGGCTGATTTCTATTGATATTATCATGAATTTTCTATGAGTTCTGTTATAATATTTTAATGCCTGATTGAAATATTTTTTTTCCACATTCTCTTGTCGAAAATAACAATTTGCAAACTAAACAGGAAAAGAAGGCCTCTGTCTACACTTTTCATATTACTTTGTAAAGATAAAAACTTCTTTAAAAATAAGAAAACCAAATATAATTGATTTAGTGTGCAGAGAAATTATCACAGTCTTCTGAGTCTGGGATGTGCACTCTGGGACTGCACGAGACTGGTGAGGCTGGAGAAAGCCTGTAGCAAAATACGACTCCTAGGAGATCTACATCCAGTAACTTCTGTCTACACGCCTCTCCCCTGCTGACAGCCTGCTATGGCATTTTTCCTATCCTGGGATGGTGATTAAAGGTGTGGAAAGTGTGGATACACTCCCACCTTGTCCCCCTGTGCTGGGAGGAAGGCTGAAAAACTCAGTGTTAAATTTATGCGGTTTGATTGTCATTCTATAAACTGTGGGCCTGGGATTTGCGGGTGGCTGTGTAGCACAAGGCAAGGGCGCTTCCTGTAGCCTCCTCTGCACAAAGCTGCTGATTTACCTTTGCACAATTAATTTGAATTCATAGGACAGAACAGGGCCTTTGAAATTTGATGTCAATGAGTAATGAAACTATACCTTTCAAGTGCTTTATTAATGCATGAATAATGAGCAGAGCAACTAATTAAACACTTTCCTATGCTTTCTGGAAAGCAAAGCCTTCTTGAACAAAGGCCAATACGCTGTTCGCTTGTATCCATGTGGTTGATTCACAGTGCACTCAATGGGGTAAATGTCCACGAGCTCACTGTTGTTATTCTGTTTCAAAGAGACTTTTTCAAAAAGCAGAGTGAGCAACTTGTGAGACTTTTAGTGGCCTGCACTCTTAATTTTCTATTAAGGAAAACTGGTCTTTCAGTTGTTGATACAATTTAAAAGGAATGGCATCAAATTCTGCTCATTTTCATATTGATGGAAAGGTAATGTCACAGTGATCTGTTTTCCCACTGTTTCTTGGGAAGTGAGCGGGTATCCTCCATCCAACTGTGTGCACTGCTGTAAGTGGGATGAGAATTTGGTTCAGTTTCTACTTTGAATTTCAAATACTAACCTTTGGCCAGGATTTCTTTATCCCTATCCATAAAGTTGCTAACATCTTTATCAAAGAAACAGGAACCTTCGTTCCCCCTATGGTTTCCTTTAAATCAAGCATATGAAGAGAATATTTGCAAAAATTTAAATAAATTGAACAAAGTTTTTAAGAAAAGACCAAGCAGAAATGAACTTTTTGGCTTCAAAAATGAGTTTGGAAACAGGATATTATGCAGTAGTTATTTTTTAAACACACCTTTATCGAGTGTGCTCCCAGACTTTGCTGTATTAACACAACAACATGGTCTAATGACAATTCCAGCCCTGAGTCTTCAATTAGGTTCAGTCAGGATCTGATAGGAGGGACTTGGACTAACATAGGGTTCCACCAGCAGAGATCCAAAGGCAGGTTTGATCCCTGGTACTATAACACCACAACTTTGGTACTCAGGAAGGCAGCTTATCTGTTACTTGGTCTTGAAAGAGCCGATCTTGTACATAGTGCTGCGGAACTTCTTAAAAACAATAAAGGCATTTCAAAGACAAGTGAATATGGGGGAATTGTTAACTTCTCTGTCCACTGGCTTATTTAAGGTGACTTGCCTTTCCTTCTCCTTCCCATTTCACTCTTTATATAACTACTCTTGTGCAGTAGAAGTAGTACTTCAAATATTTACAAGCTGAATGAGTGGAAAGGTACCTAGACAGGAAAATAGGAAAGTTATGTTTCTGGCATCTCCCTCCAACTACACAAAGTGAATAGAACTAAGGCGTTGAGAAAAAGATGAATTAATGAATCTAGTCATGCAGTCATTGAAATCACGAAGAAATGTACCTTTCATGAATGATTCAGGGTGTGGAATGAGACACAGATCAGCTGGCAAGCACACTTTAACAGGTTTAAAATATTTAATGCATTGGTAATCATCCTTCTGTGATGATGACCAGACCATGTTTCAAAGTGATCTCCAAACAGCGGTATGACAAGTTCAGTCTCTGCTAATGCTTCATCTTCTTGAAGCATTTTGACTTGGGAGACTGAAACTCTGTCCTTTCTGCTGATGTGTTTAATTTCTAACCATAGTTTATCACAAACACTCCTTTTTAAAATGCTTTTATTCCTCTTGACCTATCGTGGGACTTTAGGGCTGTCTTCACTCGATAAATGATATCTCACATGTCAAAGTGAATAATGATCCCTGTTTCCTTTTCCAGCACTATTAGAAAAGTATTGCTTTCCTTGGTGTTTCTTAGGCAGAAATGCCTTTAATTTATGATGCTAGTATATAAATGTTGACTGCTCTATTTTTGCAGTTTGAGGATAGCTGCTCTTTTATGCACCTTCCAAAGGACAAATAAGAGAGCCAATTACTATCATTAATCTTTTTGCTAATTCACAAAGGCTATGAGATTGTAGGCATAATTTCCTACTGTTATTAGTTGCTGTCATTAAGAGTCTTGAACATTGTGCAGAGCTAGGGCAAATTAAAGATATGAGTGTGAGCCAGCCAGGGGTGAGCGGTATCCTTCAGCTTTATTTAGAAATAACAGAGAGATACTCTCTCAGCTTGCTCTTCATGTGGTCTACATAAAGCAAGAGAATATTAATAGTAAAGTACTATCTACATGACATCAGATACCTGCCAAATTTAACAATGTAAGCACAGTGACAGTAAAGATAGATTGCTTCTTAAAAATTCCTTGGAATGAAACATGCATTAACCAAAAGGTGCATATAAACTTTTATGGGCATTGTTTTTCTTCCTGTATCAAAAATATTAGTTTTAATGAGGGTGGCACTTAAGGAGAAATAATCCTTATTCTCTTGGTAGGCAACAAGAAAGTAACAGTGCATTATAATTTCCTCCCACAAGTCCATGACCCTTAATTCCAGTTGGGAGTGTGGTGAGTGAAGTGGGCCTTTTTAAGGTGTGGATCTGAGAGTTTCTATGTCTTGGCTGTTTCCATTCTCATCAAAGACGACAGGTTTAGGAACAACCTTCAGAGAAGAACAGAATAATTTGTGCTTCAGTTCAGGAGATCTCTAATAAGGACAGCTTATGCTTAATAGAAAGAACACACTTCAGTCCTATTGACTTGGATGGGCTTTTGTATCCACCCGAGTGCTTTACTGTACCCAAAAATGCTGTGAATCTGATTCTTCAGACAGTTGCTGCCAGGTACAGAGTTTAGGAATACAGTAAAATGTCACCATCACCACTTACAGTACTGCGGGCTGCTTATGATATAGCAGTGAGCATTTCTGTCTGAAAAAAACTCTTGTCTCCAAGTAAACATCAAGCACCTGAGTGGGCCTGTTTGAGTGCAGATAAGCTCTAAGTTCAGCTCTGTGCTTTGCTGTGCAAGAAAACACTGAACTCTTCCCCAAGGACAACATATTTAGAATCCAGGAATATGATAACAGCTTCTTGCTGGAGTTTGGCACCCAGTTATTTCTGAGAATGCCTCAGTTAGGTTAATTCAATTGCAATTACAATAATTAAGTAATACCTCATTTTGTTTTCTTCTGTGTGACCACTGTTCAGAAAGTCTGATTCTGTGATGTCTCTTGAACAATGTTGGGAGCGAGGCAGCTGTTAGTTTCTGGTGGGAATTAGGTCTTCAGGTTTTCCTATCCTACTTGCGAGTAATTGTTATATTAATTAGAGAAAAATCTTCACCCCAGTGACATCAGTGATGATTGTGCTGCTGAAGCCACTGTCTTTATTATGGACAGCTAGTAAAATCTAGCAAAGTTCTGATATTTTCCATGGGTAAATGGGGAAAATCAGAGCCACTAATGAGGATAGTTTACATATCAGGAATTCAAGCTGTGAAGAGTCCCTAAGATCCAGAGACAAACTTTTAGTAGATTGCCACTGGATCTAGGGCAAGTTACCCCAGCAGAGTCTGGGATAGCACATGCAATAAATCTCAGATCTCTCCCAATCAGGAATCGTCCTTAGCTTTGTTTTTTATCTCATCTAGAAGAGGGTCTTTGTGAACCAGAGTATGTTGTAACCTCCCTGCACGAGCCATGTGTGAACAGCATGTCCTGGGGCATATCCATGACTGAAACATAACTTCTACATAAAGCATTATCTCGTTTTGTACATTTGTCTCTGTGCAAACACACGCACAGTGAAGTGATGCAAACCCTGTGTTCTGTTTGAGACAGGGGTAGTAGAGAAGAAAATAATGTCTCTGCAGACACTTTCTTTCTGATGCAAGTGAGAGAAAAAGGTTGGGAAGGAGTTGGACATATTTCTGCTGATACTCACAGCTCTGTTGGAAACTGTCAGATGGATTTGTGGAGAACTTTGATCTCTGAATTCAGCCCACTGTGTCAGCCTCATTGCGAGCAGGCTGTCCCGGAGCCAGGGACCCCCGGATTTCCAGATTCCCTTCTCCAGAGCGGGGAGTCCTAGGATCTCAGACCTGAAGATAAGCTGTGCTCTCAGCTCTGTGGCAGGTAGCCTAAATGTCTGCCCTGGCTCCGGAGTGGTTGCCGAGGGGTCTCAGGAGATTCATAGCAGCTGTAACACAGACAACTAGCTGCAGCCCTCAGGGCTGCCAAAGACACCTCCTGTCAGCCTGAAGCATTGAGGGAATCCCAGGCATCCTTTGCTTCGGAGAGGACTGTTGTAACAAACAGGCTTTGTAGATTTTGCCCTGAGCAGGATGGCAGTCATTCAGCTGCCCTGCGCCCTGTAAGACTGACTCCCCAGAGAGACTCCAAGAGCCATGGCAGCCAGAAGCTCAGTTTTCCTTTGTAAAAAAATCAATTGCTGTGTTTTGGCTTTTCCTCATTGTGGTTTTTTTTTTAATCTTTCTGCAGCAAAAACTAAATGCTGACCTAATCTTCTCTCATCTGCATTGGACTGAAATGTTAGAAACTAATCATGGCTAATATTAAGTATTATTTACAGCTGGCTATAGTAAAGCTATCAAACATTGAGAGGCACAGATTTACAGTAACAAGTAACGAGTTTGTGGTAAATGCTCGATTTCCGGAGGCTAGATAAGATCATTTAGCACGTTCAAATTCGCCAGTGGAGTTAAAGCTGGAGAGGATTACTGTTGCCTATTGAATTGCCTGGTGTGATTTGTGGCAGCAGGTTGTTATTTCTTGACAATTTGCAACTATGTACTGAATTGTCGCCTTCCTAATTATTCCAGAAGAGCTGAAAGGGTCACGGCACACAGTACAATCTCTCTCAACTGCCAGGCAGAAGGTGATGTTTGCAGGTTATTACAGCTCTTCCCTCTCAGCTCTGATGTGTAGGATTGGGTTCGCAGGGAGAAGCAGATGAACTGGTTGCTGTGTTCTTCCAGTGGAGTAAATGGGAAAAGTTTAATTGTTGTTCATTTTAAATACAAATATAAACTTTTTATTCATACTGGACAAAAGGATAACTTTTCTTTCCTGTGGCATACTAACAAGCAGTGTTTCTCTTCACGCATACCTTTAAGGAGTTGTACAATATTCTTGCACACGCACCTATGCACTAATTTGAAAAAAGAGAATTTAAAAATTTTCTTTCTTTAAAAAGGAAAATTATATGAAAAAGTCTTGTGAATTCAGAATCAAGTGCCAGCGTTTGTTGTTGGTGCAGTCTCGTCTCTGACTGAAATCTCCTTCTCACTTAAAAAAAAAAAAAAAAAAGTTAGAATTTTCTTAGTAGGCATTACTTCTTTCCATTGAGAACTCAAGCTCTACCTGAATTCTAGTTTTTGGTTTTGGTTTTTTTTGACACTTTCATCTTTTTACTACAAATGCTTTAACAATAGCTTCAATAAAAAAAAACAAACTTGTGACAGAACCTTTGTGTGACTCAGGGAAACTGCTGAGAGACTGATTATTTCCCCTCCCCCCCATTTTTCCTCCTCCATAGTAAGTTTATCTTGTGATTTGAGATGTTGACTAGAAAACATTTTGATAACCCAGGATTACCCCTGTGTCTGTCCATCTTCCTGAAAAGACAGCCTAGATGCATTGCATTTTTTTAGGTAGTGAAGCTAAGTGAATAAATTTTCTCTTCATAAAGAGTAGCTGATTGCATACTTTTTCCAAGAAGGGAGTAGAGCCATTTACTAGCAATTTACTAGCAACTTGAATATGGAATCCTTAATTCTATGGGGTATTTAAAAAATTTTTATTTTTTATTTTACTCTGAAGAAGCTGTTGGGCTTTGAAATCAGTGCTTCCTGAAAAATAATGAACTGTCCACTCAACTAATCTTTTTAGGACTCGGGAGATAACAATGGGAGGATGATGTTAGTAATAGTCAAAGATACTAGCATTAAAATTGACTGAAGAACAATACTAGGCTTTTCTTTCTCAGAAATAGAGTAGCCAAATGTATTGTTCATCATGTGTGTTATGGAACTATTATTCACTGCACAGATACATCGCTATTAGTAACCAATATTTCAGATCTTTTGCTTTGTTATATTATCAAGAAGACAGATCCTCTGCTGGTGTAAACTGGTGGAGCTCAGCTGTGCTAAATAGAGAACTGTTGATTTATGTTAGTTAGGGAAAAGTGGTTGAATTCTTTCAAAGGATGGAGATTTGCATTTGTTCCATTTCCCACTCTGAAGATGGTGTTGCTTGTCACTGCTAAATTGCTTACTTCTTTTCAGTCTTGGTGGCATTCTTCCTTAAACATGCTGTTGTGCGATCCGTGACCAGAACAACCAAACAGTCCTGATTCCTTCTGGTGCTTCTGGCCCTCCCTGAGCTTCTAGAGGTTGCCAACAGCAAAACCATTTGCTTTGGAAAGCTGTCTTCTGAAAATAATTGGAGTTGTCTTCCTTTAATGCCACATGTCTGGTTAACAACAGATAACCTTTGCAGAGCTAGAGAGAACTGGGGCAAGGGGAGAATAGAAAAAAACAAAAGCTTTTTTTTCTGCATAGTGGACAAAAGGTTTTTTCTGTTTCCCAAACAGCTGTTCCAGACACCTGTTTCACCATGGGGAAAATGTTTATGAGTCTCTTTTAGAGGCATTAACCAACAACATTGTTTGGACATTCATATTACCATATTCAGGTTACTTTTGGTGTTTGTACCCTGTCAGGCATTAAGATAGAACAAACTTTGAATGAGTACTTTTCCAATGTATTATAAAATACAAACTATTTACTGTAGGGAGGTGTCAATCATTTAATATGTACTTTTAGTGAACTAATATAGCTTTTGGATAGTTCAGCCCCTTTCAGCCTCAAAAAGAGGCTGAATCATTACAAACATTTATATGTAGTGTAAACTTTCATAGAAGAGGCACCTTCAAACACTGGACAGGAAGAACCTATGTGTTAAAAAAAAAAAAAAGGTATTCAAGTTACTTTTTGTAGGATTATGAGCAACATCATGAAAGCTTACTTTTTCCTCTCCTGAACCCACAGACTAAGTTTAGGGAATAACAGAAGTCAGATTTCGGCCCAATTTTTTAAATCTCTCCACTCTTATTTGTAGTATTAAATAGACCATGGATTGGTCGTGCTGTGAATCCTGCTGTGATGAAAGTTTGTTTTCAAACTTAGAAAATATGCCCTTCCAGAAAGTTCCCAGTGCACAAATACGAGATAATGAAAAGGAAGATAAATATGTCTGATTCCCTTTTGAGAGCAGGAGCAATTTCATCTGAACATAATTTTCAGACTTTACATTGCACCATGTCTTAGGAAAAAAAATTACCAGTACGAACTCTGTAGCTAAGAAACATTTGCTCAAATATATCAGCTCAGCTGATTGACAGAACATGTTGGTGCATTTGAGAAAATTGTTTTCCAGTTTAAAGTAATCATGGGGGTTTATTTGGTGGTTTTTTTTTTTCCCTGTGTTCAACTATTCCTGGTCTCATTGCAACGGAACATTAAAATCCCACTGAAAGGGAGCAGAGTTAGGAAAATGCAAAGATCTTATGAAATCCTACTTCTGTCCTTTAATAAACAAAAGTTATTTAAGGAAGACAAAGATGTCCCCCAAACCTCCTAATGTAAAAAGCAGAGTTTCACCAGATTTTGTTCAACTGGATGTCAGTTGCTTCGCCCTAGAAATTTGATAGGATTAACATTTTGCAACAACTCACAATCTACTTTGGGCTTCCCTTACTTATAGTTTAGCTCAGGTAACTAGGTTCGTAATTCAGGGTGATTTTAATAAGTGACTTATAACAAAATTCTTATCCATAAGTTTATTACCAAAAAGGGTATAGTGTTAGTTCCATTATAAAATTAAATAAAAACCTGTTCTTAATCATAAATCAAGTTATATCAACAATATGAATAACACTTCAGGTTTTTGGGGGGGTTCAGTTGAACAGTGAATTAAATCTACTTCTTCACTCCCTAAGGAAATTGGGAAAATTTATTAGAAAACAGATACAGATTCCTATTTCTGCACTAATCAAGCTCTTGTGTTATTGATAGTATGTTGGAAGGCCAGCTGTAGAGGCAATCTTTATCAGATTTCCATCTCCTTTAAGGTCTTCTTGGAAAGGTACTTTTTTTATGTTACTTTTAGCTACATTTTGCAAAGTGACTGGTGTGTACTGAATGGTCTGGCTTTTCTTCCAGAATGTAATGATCTTGATATTTGGAAAAGATTATTCTCTGTGTTGTTTATGATGACACATGGTGACAGTTGCTAAACCAAGAACACTGTAAATCAGTTACTGAATTCTGCAGATGATGCGTATACTGCTTGAGTGACAGTGGTATCTCCAATGGCAGTCCATGTGGACTTAAAACGACCATTGCTTACGGATTGTAGGATAGCACAGGCTTTGGTGCCATGTGATAAAACATGTTTTCCATATAGATTTCAGGTCTTAGATACTTACGTGTTCCTGTGATACCTGTGCATATCAAAACACATCTTCCTCAGAAATTCTATTCTCAGAAGTTCATAAACTTCTATTATGCCTATTATGATAGGTGAGAAAGCCAAAGTTAGAAGAGAGAGTGATTTGTCCAAGGTAACGTAGCTACTTGGTAGGAGGAACCAACTGAAGCAGTGTCCTAACTTTTGGCATTCTTCCTCTTTAGTCACCTCTGTCTTAATTCATTTTGCCTAGAAAAGAGAAGAAGAGGAAAGACAAAAGAGTGAAGAACAAATAAAGCTGCAGGAAGAAATCCGAGCAAAAGAGTTGTATCTGAGCCTCAAGCAAGCTCAGCAGCATAGTCAACACAGCGACGATGACCAGGAGTGGGAAGAACAGTGTGAGTAAAATCACCTTCACAGGATTAATGTATTTCTAAAAACAAATAAAAGGAGACTCGTAGAATAGAAAAAGGTGTTGCCAAAAATCTCTTCTATCCAGAGCAATGCAAAATGCTATATTATTTTACAGGAAATCACCAGCTTGACCTTACAAACAGAATTTACTCTGAGTTTACCAATTTCACATTTCTTTCTGAAAAAGAATCAGAAAAGCCTTATAGAAAATTTTTCGTGTACAGTGACCGAGATCATTAATTTTTGTCTAATGTAATTAATTAACAGGTTTGGCTTAGTAATAATAATTCTGGACACAGTTATTTCAGCAGCTTGTCCTTAGCTGTCTCTGAAGAAGTAAAATCTGTCTTCATCTGTGTTTTAATTACTTCCATATGGTGATGCGGTCAAGCTATGATATCAGCACTGAAACTCAATTAATTTCAAAAGATTACAGTAAATAATACTTAGACTGTTGCCCTGAAGAAAATCCTTATGATGATGATCACACTCTATGAAGGTGCTGTTCCTTTTTAGGTGCCCTAAAATTCTTTATTAATATCATCACTGTGATTAATTTAAAAATACATCAGTGATTTTTAAAAGCCTATAAGGAAAAGAACAATATATTAATATATATATGTATACATACATACTGTAAGTAAGTAAAAGTCCACATTATGAGTAAATAAGTCTTAATAGGTTATTATGAATAAAATGTATGTCTGCTCCATCTGGAGTCTGTTGTACAGTTGGCTTCAGAACTAGGAAATTCATTTGCATTAAGAATTATGCATTTTTGTTGGGGGAAGAATATTTTTTATTTCCCATATCTATACTGATTTGATTACTCTGCAGAAAAAGGAAATGTAATGATTGGAAAGTTTTAGCTCATGTGGGAGTATTGTATTAATTATATATAAAACAAAGGTTAATCAACTAATACTAAAAATGGAGACTTAGGGAGCTGATGTGTTGCAAGAAATACCTCATGAAGTAGGAAAATAATATTGCTGTAGTGTTACTAATTTCCTGACAGAAGTAAAATAAATGCTTCAAAATATGCAATGAGTTTATTTTATGGTTTTAGTCATCACTTCAGGAGTTTCTGAAGACTAATTACTGAAGTCCTGTTACCTGGAATTGATGTGATAGTGAATCATTCTGTACATCATGAATTAAATCTATATAAGATACACTGGTGCCATTTTCCAAGCTCATAGCAGGCTATGCTCATTTTTGATCAATAAAACCTCTATATATTACAGTGTCAATAAAGAGAAGGTGATTATTTCCTAGAGAATTATCTAAATCCAGGTGTACATGTTTATTTGGAAAGGAAAACTGTTGGGTTTTAAGGTGTTTTAAGAGCAGAATGAGTTGGGGAAAAAATAGCCCTTTGGTTTTGTAGAGAATGATGTATTGTCAATTAGCATCAGCTGGCAAAGTAGCATAGAGGATGGTGTTATGTACTTTAGCATTTCTTTGATGATAGATAAGGAAAGAAAATACATTTGGAACCATGTTTAAAAAAATAAAAGTAAAAAGAATCCAGCCTACCTTTACACTTAGCGATAAAACAAAATACTATAAACACTAGTAAAACCAGCTATCATTTTCTTACTATTGCATTAAAGAGGTAACTGAGGTTTTAAATTGTCGGTTTTCTCAAGGAATGCGGGTTGTACAGGGACAGATACAGAAATGCAATAGAGGAGTTATGGGAGAAGGCAGAGAGGAATGGAATAAGCTATGAAAGGTTTTGACTGTGACTTCTGTAATGGCATTCTTGGTCTGTCAAAACACTTCTGACTGCATCATACGCTGATGGATACAATCTACCACCAGTATTTTTTCTTGTGTGACCTTTGGAGTATTCTGTATGCTGTGAAGGAATTCTGTCACCTTCAGTCTGGGTGCCTCAATACCTATAGACCTGTCTGCTTATGGGCAAAAGGGTGACCGACTCACACAATGTCAAGCTATCTGGCCTGGTCACCAACAATGGTGCTGCCATGGCAAAACAAAAGCTCAGCACCTTCTAGCTGGTGGCACCATAGTTGGGGTTTGCAGCTATGATAAATTCTGTGCTGCCAGAGTTTATGCTGTTATCAGTAATTGATTTAGCATTAAACTAACTGCAGACTAATGACTAGAGTGTATCACATCCTTGTCTATCCTCTTACGCTTATCTTAGTGTCTCAATTTATCCCGGTTGGTTTGAGGGCTTAGAACTGTGTTCCATTAGCAAATGGGTGTGACAACTTAAGATATGGAGAGGCAGTGTTTAGTGCCTTATCTGAAACCAGTTCCTGGCTGGTTTAGGCATACCATCGGACTTTGCATTGAGCTTCCTGAGGAATGTTAACACCATCCATTTCCTTAACTTTGTTGCAATAGCCAGAACCTCCAGCAGACAGGCGACAAGAAATATTTGGAAGTGGGATCATCTGAAATTGCTAAGAAGTGAACTAGTACTTCGGATTCACCAGATTTTTCACTTTTGATTTCAGTTTCAGATCTTGTTTTCCTTTTTATGGTAATCCTTTCATTTTGTCTTCAGATATTCCTTTGGGACACCGAGTGGAAATTTAGTCAAGTTAGGCAAAGCTATCCCCTTGTCATCTTTTCTAAGCAATAAATAAATGCATGAATGCATGAAAGAATTACAAGCAGATGTAACATTAACATCTTTTGTCTCTACACACCTGCAATGGAAACCATATTGCCCATTAGGAACAAGGCCAGGCTCCTTTGTGTCTTACCTCCTTGAAGTCAGCTCTTCATATTCAACTGTGCTGGGGGGTCAGTACTGAAGAGGAACGGCAGTGCTAGAGCAGCTATTGTGGAGAGCAAATGTAGCAACGATATTGATGACACTACTAATTTATTTAGCAGATGGAATTTAGAATGTGATAAGGATTCATCTCTCCTCATCAAGTTATCCCTCAGCTGTTTATTGCCAAGGCAATAAACAAAGTGTTGCTAATATTAGTTTCTGTTGTTCAGTTCAGTTTGCTTCTGCTGGTTGCCTGATTGTGCCAAATAACAATGAAAACCCATAGAACTGCTGTGTTAATTGAAATAGGTAATTTTAGTAAATATACTAAATGACAAATGTAGAATAACTTGTACGAAAAGGAAAAATATGATGTTGTCGGAGCAATTATACTCTGGTTTCATATAATGGATATATGTTGGGGTATTTTAGAGGGCAGTTGTGAGTTAGTATGTGGAGCAAGTATGTTGGTTAGGAAATGAGAAGATGAATAGTGGATTCATCTGATTCAGAGTCCACTGTTCAAAGCTGTTATTCTTTGAAACTGAGAAGTGAGAACTAAGGCTAAGCTTGGATAGACAAGTGTATTATATTCTGATTTGTTTCGGCCCTTTCTACAGACTGTTCTGTTTTGTAGGTTTCTCGAGTATTCAGTAAACAATACCCCATATCATAGGCTCTAATTGTGAGAGCAGAAAAGGAACCTGCAAAATATAATATGAAAAACTGTAGCATAATTATTAATCTGATTGCACATTGCAAAAGACATTCTGTTAAACAGTTACAAACCCCTGCAAACTGCATCAAGCAATGAAGTACTCACATACCATCTGACCAACTGTACTCACCTCCAAACAAAAATTATTCCAGTAAAAAGGTACAGAATTGAGTGACTTGATCTATTCTTATGCCTTCCCCTAAGCACCCACTTTTGGCCTGTTGGAAGTCGGATACCAGGCTGACTCGTTATAGCTTCTTTTTTGTTCTTATATTTTTATTCTCTTCTACAAACTTTGTCTATGAATTTATTTTTGTCTGAATTTTAAAGAAATTTTTATTCGTTTGGTAATTATCTTCCACAGAAATTCAAGCAAGTGAGTTCATTGGCAGGAGCATTTGATAAAATGCTGAATTTTCAAGTGAGTAGTCCCCAGTTCAGCTATGCATTAACTAAGCAGGTGTTCAGACTTAAGTATGTGCTCACTGAACTTCAACAGGTCTCAGAGTTGTTGAATAGGGATGGAATTTTTCACATGCTCTCAGATAAGAAGATTGCTGAACTGGAGCCTTATTGCAGAGTATTTGTGGGAAGTTATTTTCCAATTAGGAAAGGGAAAAACACCGTGTGATTTCTGTGTGCACTCAGAAAATTTGAAGATTGAATTTTATCTATTAAGTAGTCATTTTGAATTGCTCATAAACAAGCTTCCAAGAATTATTAATAAGGGTAAAGCTGAAACAAAATGATTTTAAAATGAGGATGCATATTCATAGCACATGGGGATTTTTTCTGCTTTCCCATAGCTCTGGCTGTAACTCACAGCTCTTCAAAAGCACAAAATATATTATACAAAATGGAGACTTCCTAGCCTTTCACAAATTATGCGATCAAGTTCAGCTGCGGCACAGCATGAATTAATCCTCATCTGTATCAAACGATTTGGTATTAGAACTTTGCCAGGACTTCTAATAGGGATTTCCCAGTCCTAAGTGAAAATATAAAAGGCAATCTGGCATTTTCACTGAAAAGACAGCTTAGGTTAACACAGAGGAATAATAGATTCCTGTAAAATGTTCAAGGAAAATAAGGCAAACTCAAATTGAGACCTATAGGATTATAAGAGCTATTGCATACACAAGCTTTGTGGTTTCTTCTTTGTTGTTAGAGTATGTTCACACTGCGGGTCATGTAGATATGTCCAAGCTGGCTTTACAGTACTTATTTCTACTAACGATAACTGTATAGTTGTGACAGCAGAGTCCTCAGTCTGGATATTTTTACCAGTTTTCCAGAAGGGTTTGGTATACCCGTTTTTGGCCTGCTCTACTGCAGCTATAATTATATTGACACCTAACCTATACAAACATCTCAGGCTTTTCTACCCAAACTACGGTGCTATCAGGGAAGAAATGTGCTTAATTTTACAGGCTGAAGGGGGATGTAGCTGTCATTGATATTACCAGCACCTGGAGAGAAAACTAGTACTGGAGATGGACTCAACAGGGCCTGGCTGAACTGTAGATTTCTTGTGAGCTTGACATTAATCAAACTCCTCATTTCCCAGTCTTGTCAGTCCTGACATTATTCCATAATACAAAAGGAAGACGAAGAAAATGTAAATTATTATTTGTAGTAATTGTTGATGCTAGATGTATGGATCTGTAGTGATGATTCAGAGATTTTAAGGATGAAAGACATCGTTCAGATATCTAATTGCCCTACTGAAAATACTGACTATCGAATTAAATTCTTTGCACAGGAATCATGCCAGAAGTACATGTACTGTAAAAGGACGGGCAGTCAAGAAAAGTAATCTGTTCCTACTTAAGAGAGTACTAGAAGTCCTGACTACTACTGCTTTCTTATTGTGAGAAAGGCTGTGAGGTGTCCTGACATACAAGTAATGCAGAATTTGTGGCTTCTTCGATCTTAGAATATTTGTGCTAGACTTGATCCAGACATAAAGTCCTTTTTTCTAGTGAGATGGTTCAGAGTTGAAGAGAGAAATGTGAATATTCACTAAATCCTATTGTACGGAAAACCTGCTACAGAAATATGTCCAGATTTACGTTCAGACTTCAAGTGAATTTCTCAAGATAGATAAATTTGTGGGCAGTGTCGGTATGAGAGGATGGTTCATGTGGCACACGGCATCTTGTCTGGAGTGCAGTGGAAAACTTTTTTGTGGATTCCTGACCGCAGTGGCTGGAAGAATATCCACAATACTGTTTCCAGTCTCCAAAACCATTTATTGATGCCAGTGCCTTTGATTATTTACCCAACACAAAGTCCCTTGATCAGTCAGAGGTAGGAATGTCTGTTGAAAATAGTATCTATTGCTGGGGAAAGTGGGGCACAAAGATACCTCACTTTTTTCATTACCAGGCAACCTGTACATCAGTAGAAAAGAATCCCAAAAAGCTCCAGGCAGTCTGCCCTCAATCTGTATCCTGTGATTGTGACAATGACTGGTTTCTAAATGTCTTGCCGAGCTGCATTGCACTCTTCTTTGCTGTCTCTGTGTTGTTGCAAACACGAAGTCCACATTTAAAGCAGCCCTTACTGAGTGGCTTTACAAAGGATAAATCACAGAAATTTTGTAACTAATATGCGTGGGCATAGTGTGTTTAGATGACGTTGTCTACCCTTAAAAATAATGACCTGTAAGATAAATAGTGAAACCCATTACTCATGTTTTCTGTGCTGTACAGTTGTTTGTTACTGTGTGTAGCTAAAACTACAGGATATGTAGTTAAGTGAAACTGAAATCCTGCCAGTTGTATACGTATGAAGCATCTATGACTCATTTATTATGCTCTCTTGGTGAGCTTTTAGTCCTGTATATCTTTCCACCTAAGATAATGTTATATAACTCTAAACTTAAAGGTCTTTCCTCTTTCC